GTCCTAATACTCTAGTGCTGCCTCAAGAACTGGTCTAATGGCTGGGCCCTAGTGTCCTGCTCAACTTTTGCAATCCCCTTCTGTCTGTCATGTTGATTAGAACCATACTCACATGATGAGCTATCCCTCTATGATGAACTATTATCTTGACTCCTGAGTACTGGCCACAGCTGGGATGTCCCAGAGAGTTGCTTTGCTTGGCTATTGGCATGGCCAGGAACCAGTAGGTTTGCCTTTTACAAAATTCTTGGATCCTGCTTCCCCAACTTGGGTGTCCTGACCATAGTCATCAGGTTTATTCTTGTTCCTGTGGCTGACCAAACTTTCTCCCACCTCTGAGCCTTTGCACTGACTGTGCCTCTGCCTTGGTGCTCTCCTCCCCGGCTTCAGGTCCCAGTTTAAATGCCATGTTCCCATTCAGTGTTGCCTGCCCTCTTCTCATCTTTTTCTACATCATCATCTCATTTCTCTTTCCTCATCACATTGATATATTTGGAGTTCTTTCATTTGAGTCCTTGTTTCTTATCTGTTTCTGCAGAAAATGAATGAACGAATGAAAAGCTCCTGGAAGTCAGGAACCTCCCCTCTTATGCTCACTGTTATATTGGAAGGCCTAGAGTGGTGCCTGCTACACAGTAGATGTTCAATAAACTATTTATGGAATGTAATTGAATGATTCCTAATTGTTGAGACCACATAATGTCTGGTCTACACCAGGGAAGAAGATGCAATGGATTTTGCTGAACTGTGCTGGCTGAATTGGAGGGCTGTCTACTTGGAGCAGTCCAACTCCTTCTGCCAAAATTGCCTACCTGGTCTGTCAAGCAGACTCCTAGATTCAGTTCAGAACTGTTCTCTCAAGAACCTTCCCTTGCCCTGACCTCCAAAGTGGTGCTAGTCATTCCTCTTCCTTGTTCTGGGAGCACTTCTTTCCAATCTTTAATTATGCACCTAGCATTGTATACTTCTTTGCTTACCTGTCTTTCTCCCCAGTTAGACTGTGAGCCTTTTGTCAGTAGGAACTCTGCAGGGATTGTCTCTGGATCCCTGTACGTCTTACACAGATATACAATTCAATCCCACAATAATTTGTGTGGAATATATAAGCTGATAAGTGCATTAGTAAACTGGTTGTGCGAATCTGATATGCAGGAGATAAGTCAGGTTAGGAGATAAGGTCAGGGCTAGTGATGCAATAATTAAATTAACTAACAGCCATTTATCCAAAAACCATGTTGCTAAAGATAAAAGACTTTGAAACTTGGGCCAGTCAGTTGCAAAAGAGCTCATGTCATCATTATTGTGTAAGTTATCTGAGCCATCCTATCATTCACATCCTATTCACATGCCTGGGATAGAAGTGGCCCTCCTGGGATAACTCCAGAGTCATGGTTCTGACGTTCTTAGCTCTTCAATGACTCTATTTTCATCTAACCTGAGTTACAGTCACTAGCTTTTGTGAGACCAGTCTCATTAATCATAGTGGTTTCTGTGCAGGGGAGGATGCCTACCTCATCCCGCCCACATGGAGATTTAATGACGCATAACTTGAGAGTTAGCTCAGGCTCATTCTATTCCCTTTGGGTCATTCACCCTTTGGTCTACCGTGTTATTCCAGATTTGAGATCCAAAATCATAATTAAGTTGGTAATTTTATGTAATGCCATCCTGAGATGGAATTTTCATTGTGAGAGAAAATTAGTTGTTTATTCACTAATCATTTACAATTTGTGGATTACACAGCAGGCCTTGTGCAAGGGGCTGAGGACAAGGATGGGTAAGATCAAGTCCTCATCTATGAGGAGCTGACAGGCTAAAAGGCAATTCAGAACTAGAGGGCAGATGCTTTCAGTGATCAGTGAGGGCCATGGTAGGGTGAAGTCTTGGGGGATGAACGCAAACTGGTCAGACAAAGGATAGGGGCAGGGAGACAACAGCAAAAACAAAAACCAGGAAAGCATGGATGGGGAGTGGCATGAGACCAAAGCAGAGCAGTCTCTAGGCCAGGTAAGGCTCTTAAATTTTAATCAAAAATTTCCAAAATACATTTTAAAGATACTTGTTTTGTGTGATAATAATTGCTTTTGCATGGTAAAAGGGTTTTATGAAGAGCTGTTTGTCTGGAGTGCTGTGCAATCATCCTGTGATAGGCAGAGAGGGACACAGCAGGGAACAATACACACTGTCCCATGCTCATGGAGCTTGCAGGCCAACAAGGAAAGTAGATATTAAACAAATAGTTACAAATGATGTGTTAAGTATTTACATGTGACGGAAGTCCCAGAAAGGGGACTGTGTTATAGAATATAGGAGAAAGTGGTTAATAAGAACAAGAAGTGACTTTTTCAAAGATTTTATTTATTCATTCATGAGAGACAGAGAGAGAGGCAGAGACATAGGCAGAGGGAGAAGCAGGCTCCCTGTGGTGAGCCTGAATGCGGGACTCAATCCCAGGACCCTGGGATCACACCCTGAGCCGAAGGCAAACTCAACCGCTGAGCTACCCAGGTGCCCTGACATTCTTTTAGCCCACGCCATGAACCAGACATTGGGTTAAGGGCTTCACAAGCATTAATATGTTTAAACAAAGCCAATTGGGACAATACGCTAATGTGCTTTTTGCAGTTCCTAATGCTAGATGTAGTTAATAGGCATTTCCCAAGTGGAGTTGACCATGGGATGTTTTTTTTTTTTTTTTTTTTCCCAGAACAGCCATACGGCCATTCAATTGTATGGCAGTTTTGGCATAGGATGCCACTGAGGGGTTCTCAACCAGGGAGAGAGATGGTCAGGTTTAATTTTCCAAATGGTAGAAAACCTGTACTTTGTGGTTTTGGTGACTTAGAAGTGGCCAGAAATTTTAGAAAAGGTTTAGGAATTATCAACCTTGCCAGTAAAATAGAATTACCTCCACTTTTCAAACTACTGACCTATTAAATCTGAGTTTCCTATAGCAATCTGTATTTTGTAAAAGCTCCTGAGTACACAGGGAACTGGTAACATTGCTTGCTTCTGGGGAAAGGTCCTGGGTGGCTGGATGGCAAGGACAGGAGAAGACTCTTTATTGTAAAGTAGTGAGCCATGGTTACATATTACCTATTAAAGAATACATGTGTGCATTAAAACAATCTTTATGGGTGATCTAGATGTAGACGGGATGGAGAACCAACCACTGGTGGGTGGAATTAATTAGTGAGTTAAAAACAAAATAATGTGAAACAAGTGATTAAAATTTCCTATTACAAGTAAGATGTACTAGATAGATTTGATCATTAATCGTTAATGATACAAGAAAGCAACTTTCTAGAAATGGGGAAGGGAAGTCAGACCATGAGAGGTTAAAGAGAAAAAGTGTGGGGAGAGGCCAAAATCTAAAATTCTCTGGTGGGCAGCAACAGGTGGACTGTTGGAATCCTTACCCCTCTACTCACTAACTGGCGAGCCATGGGACTTGGGGGTGTTTCTCAGTCCCTCTCCCCCTCATTCCTCACTGTAACATAGGAATAATATTAGCCACCTTAGAGGCTGCTTGGGAAATCAAGGAAATGATGAGCGAAGGTTTTTACACACACACACACACACACACACACACACACACACACCACTTAGCATAGTGCCTAGTGCAAAGTGAGAAGATAGGGTAGACCTGGACATTTTTGTAGAGAGAGCAGAAGATGGAAGTTATAAAAGTGGAGACAGATCCAGATCCTGCAGGGGGTGGAAAAAGGGATGGGGGGCGAACAAGAGCGCAGACGGGGAGGGTTTCTTAGAAACAGGTAGAACCCTTTTCCTCTGGGAGAAAAAGGAAGGAGAGGGTGGGCAGGGAAAGAGGTGACAACAGACATTTCAAGGAGGGAGGAGGGAAGATGAAAGAGATGAGATAAAAAATATCTTATTCTTCATCTCTGCAAAGAAAGAGGCAAGGTGGAAATTCCATAAAATCTTTCAAATATAATATTTGATGCACAAAAGCCAGGTTTTTTGTTTAAAATAAATTGGTGCCATTGTGAGTAGCTAATGAAAATATAGGCAGCCTCTGTACTGTGTCACCTTCCTGCTGCTTATTTTAAGTAATTAATTAAATTTTGCTGCTTCTTTTTCAATGCATTACCGCTGGTACAAATACCTTCAAGAGGCCATTAATTCAAACCTTTTATTTTGAGCCTACTGCATGGCAGGTCCTAGAAGACCAGGGAAGTCAACACACTGAGAATGGTGCCGGGGCGGGGGGGGGGGGGAGGGGGTTAAGGGTGAGGAGGGGTGGGAAAGAAAAGCGCAGCTTAGCTCTTCTTATATATGGTGTGTGAGCTAGAAACTCAGAGAAGGCTGCATGTTTTCAGTGCAGGAATTGTGTGGGTTTCTCTTTGTATAGCACACTGAAACTAACTTATTTCCCCAAAACGAGCTGATTGATATAGGATATGAATCCACTTGAGTAGATGTATTCCATGTTCTATGGCCCAAGAAAGATGCTGGCACACTGTATTGAAAAGCATGGAAAAGAATATGTTGAGTCAAAGGAAAATATCTGCAACATAATTGCCCACCTTCTTAAGAAGAACAACAGTAGGGTTCAGTCCCTTCAGACCCAATGCCTCCTTCATAGCAGATAACTTTGCTATTCTGAGATGAGATTCACAGATGGCATAACCTACCAATACATTTTAAAAATAACATAATGTCCAAAATTTGTTATATAGGAAAATTAAAGTTAAATAAGTTACCATCAAGTATGTAATTCTCCATGCAAATACTTTGAGCATGGCTACATCACTAGTACAATGAAGGACACAGATAGTGACAATCTACATGGACAATCACCGTGGATGTCACAGCTGAAAATAGAGGCCAGTTTAGGTGTCTTATTGCCTTGGTAACTCAAACACCAACTCAGACAGCTTTGCTAATGGTGATACGATTTTCTAAAATGTGAAGAACTTTTTTTTAAAAAAGATTTATTTATTTATTTTACAAAGAGAGAGTATGTGAGCAGGGGGAGGGGCAGAGGGAGAGGTAGAGAGAGAATCTTGAGCAGACTCCCTGCTGATTCCAGAGCCTGGCGTGGGGCTCAATCTCACAACCCTGAGATCAAGACCCTGAGATCATGACCTGACCTGAAATCAAGAGTTGGACACTCAACCAACTGAGCCACTCAGGCACCCCTAAGATGTGAAGAACTTTTAATGAAATTCTGAACAAAGCAAGTACATATTTCTCTTAATTTTTACAAAAGATGCTTTGTTGGAAAATTCAGTGGGTATTGAAGAAAAAGCAAAATATACTCAAACACAGATATTTTGTGTTTATATGTAAAATGAAATATGTTTTAGCTCAGACCAGGCTTTTCATCTACACGAACGTCCAGTGGAACATGGAAAGTTCTATGGCACTCAGGGCAATTCCTTGTTGTGTGGGACTGTCCTGCAGACTACAGAACATCTGCCACATCTGGCTGTCCACTCCAATCATGAGGACAACCAAGAAACCCTCCACAGAGTTCCAAAATGCCCACCAGGCAGTGGCACTATCCCCTTTGTGAACTGCTGCTGTAGCGTACGTGACCTTAATTGAACTCTGCACTTGGAGAAGCTCACTAAGTGCTTGTTGAATAGAATGAACCTTGCAGATCTTCACAACCATCATTTCGAACTCTAATTCACGCTGTGGAGGGCTATAGATATAAATGGAAGATAAATAAATAAATAAATAAATAAATAAATAAATAAATAAATGGAAGATAAATAAATAAATAAATAAATAAATAAATAAATAAATAAATAAATGGAAGATCTAGACAGGGATAGCCAAATGTTCTCATCTTTCAAGCCTATCCCAATTGGTTGAAAGTAGTTGCCCTTAATATCATATACAGAATAATTTTGGGGGTGGAGTTCAGCTTATTCAATAATTCCAGCACTATTTACTGAGCATCTATGCCAGGCACTGTTTGAGTAGCTGGAGATACAATAATAAATAAAACAGACACAGATTTGGGCCCTCAAGGAGCTAACATTTTGAGCTCAGGAGGAACTGACATTAAAGGTGTCTGCTATGAGATCACGAACCCACTAGCCACAAATGTGTCTTACCTGAAACAGAAGAGTTTCCTGAATCACCACTAACCCAGGAACTGCCCTGGAGTTTTATTTTTAAAAAATCAGTTTCTGATACTGGTTCATTTTCCTCATTTGTCTCTTTCTCCTCAGAAAGAAAAATAGCAAAAAACAAAACAACTTCTAGTTAATTGATAATTCTGATTGAGTTCTTGTGAACAAAGTTATTCTATGATTTGTAAGGTTGTATTAGAATTAATGAAGAGATATCGCTTGCCAAGAAATGGAGACTTGGTCAAGTCAGGAACAAGAATTTAACTGAAAGTCATTAGGACACTCCCAATACCTAGCAAAAGCATCCTTAGCAATGAACATCCTATCTGTGTGAATATCTGGCCACCAACATTCCTGGGCAAACATTAGAAATAAGACACATATCCCTAGCCACTAAGTGGGGACCTTTTCCCTTATTGCTGTGGTTTTGTGATTTGGGGCAAGTTACATGGCCTCTCTAGGCCTGTGGCCTCACCTGCAGGGATATGTGAAGGTGATCTTCAGGTCATGTGACTGAACAAATGATGTTTCCAAAGTCCTGAGTACAATGCCTAGTGCAGGGTTACTCAGGGGCCTGTTATCATTATTTCCAGGATATATGGGGGTGAGGGTGGGTGGTTGGTTCTCTTCTTTCTAGGTGAGTGGGGCCACTCAGCAGCTCATGTGGAGTATTCTTACCTTATTGTAACTCCAGGAGAGGAGATCACATTTTCTTTCAAACAAAGTTACGGTTTCATAGATTTTATTGGATCTCAAAAATGGAAAGTACATTGAATCATCTGCTCCAATCCTGTATTGAAGAAGAAGCTGTGATTTGGGACTAGAAACAGTGTTTAATTTTCTAAGGTAGGCCTCCAAGACCTACTTAACCCATCATTTGACCTGGGGTTTTCCAAAGCATGAAAGTAGGACCACCTGTATTAGAATCTTACAAGGAGCTTTTTTAAATGCAGGTTCCTGGGTCCTACACCTAAACTGTTTTATCAGAATCTCTAGAGATTGGGCCTGGGAACCTGCATTTCACAGCAGGCCACACTTGAAATCAAGTACCACTCATGTAATGATCAGTACCTTGATTGACAATATTATAAAGTATGCCCAAACCCAGTACCACCCGAAGACTTGGTCATGGTGGATCTGAAATAGGACCATACATCCAGGGCTATTGAACTATCTGACAGTTTTGGCTACTGTTTCTGTTAATTTCCGCTTCAATTATCCAATGAGTTGTCTCTATGCCAGGATAAGCTCAGTCCTGTGGCTCTTGTGAAGTTGCATAAGTCAGTGTGGCTCTCTGCTCTTGCAAAAGACCAAGAAATGAATGAATACATGTAAAACTTTAGAACAGAACTGACCTCATACTAAGTGTTCAAAAAAATGTTAGTCATTAGTATTATCTCTCATTAGAGCAGCTAGAGCATCTGCAGAGAGGTGATGCTGGTTTCTTAGACATGAACTTAAATCTTAGGATCAGTGTCCATTTGATAGCAAAGATGGCTGGAGACAGTCATTAAGATAAAGGAAATGGAACATACCATTAAGACTCCCTAAGTGCATGGCACAGATCGTACTCCCTTGTTTTTGTTGTTTTTACCTGTGAAGAGAATGTAAGATCAGATATGGTTTTACTTTACAGTTTAAATTGTTCTTTGCATCAGCAGAAACTACTCATTTTGGAATGATAGTTCAGTTGGGGATTTATTTATTCTCCTACTCACAAATACACAAGAACACACAAGTACATAGGTTATTGTGAATACTTTTTAGGTTGTGGTAAATTATTTGTGCCATATCTGAATTTGAAAAGAGAGATACAGTGTTCATGAACATGGAGAATTTCAGCCACAAAAGAATTCTTAGCTGAAATAGGTAGTGTGTAATTGAGAGAATGTGAAAAAGAATGAGGAAGTAGTTTCTCCAGCATGCTGAAAGGGGAAGGTGGTTCTTTTTCCCTTGAGCAAAGCATTCATTAAATGCAAAAGAAAATTACTATGGACTTTTGAGCCAGGAATCCATGATGCCAGCATTTTGCAATAACATCCCCTTTCATCTACAGATCTCACAACAGTTTATGGACACTAATTAAGTCTCACCATACTCATACAATTCACACTGAGTTTTCTTTACTTCCTTTTTACTGAGGAAAACCAGGGCAGCAAATGCTTAAAGGGTTTTTAAAACTTACAAAGCTGGGATTTGAATCCAGTACCCAAAGCTTGTGACCCAGAGAGGAAGGGGACCCATGTGGTGGGTTTGACAGTTGACTCATAGTTGATTTTTTTGGGAGCAGGAAGTGATCTCCAGCAACTCTGAGAGGAAGGAGTAAGCCAGGAGCTCAGGGAGGGCCTAGAGGATCAAGAGTGGGGCCAGAGATCCTGATGTACAGTGAAGGCACATGTACCTGGTGTCTCTTACCATCACACCCCTTCTGCTTCACTTGCCATGTTCCTGAATAGACACATTGGGATTGCAATTCATACTGACTAGTCTAGATTTTTGAGACTGTGAGTGAAGCATGTGTGTGCCAGAGGGGAGTGGTCTGGTATTAGTGGGCAGAGGTGAGTCACTTACCAAGGGAAGCAGCAGTAGGAGGGAAATCAAAGGGCAACAGGTTATGTTACTCCCTCTCACTTGTCATCTTGGCCCTCTTTAAAAAGGAAGAGAAAACAAAGCACAGACTAAGTCTGAGATCAATCTCACATGGCCAATTATGACATATTCAGGTCCTGACTTGTCCAGGACCCAAAATAAATATCTGGGTCTATCAGAACTGTTGAAGGAGGCCAAGAGTAATTTGAAATAACTTACCTTCTCTCTCTCTCTCCTTCCCCTCTCAATATGAGTGTTTAAATTTCAGGAATGAGTAGTTTCACATAAGTGGAATAAGAATCAGAAAGGGAGGATGACCAGAAAGCCCCAGGAAAGGCAGATGCAAGTCCTAGGAGCCAAGTAGGAATCTCACAGGCTCAAACAGTATTATATTTCTGAGACTGAATCAAATGTGTAAAAATAGTAGCAAATTACTTACCTCTTCAAAGAGAGCTACACACGAAATTGTAGGGGAATTTATTAGCACATCTAAATCTGAAACAGAAAGGTTATATATTTACAAGGCTAAGTTGCAAATAGGCAGAAGAGAAAAAAAAAGTTTAGTTGCTTTAGTTTTTATTCCTAATCATATCAGTTCATTAGAAACAAACTGTTTATAAAAGGCTTAGTCTATAACTCTAATAGAAAAATAATACAAGTCAGGAGTATATCCATGTAGATATATATATATATATATCTTTCTTCAAGTAATATTAAAATAGTTACAAGTAGCAGTTAACCTGGCTATATTACAGACAAGATCATGCTTGCAATCTTTCTCACACTGATCTTTTGGAAAAGGGTAAGATAATATTACCTTCACTAAGAACATATGGCAAAAGTGGTCTCTCTGACATTCTCTAATCCACATTATGATAGAAACTGATATTCGTGTTTTGAGAGTACTGAAAGATCTCCAAATGTCTTTTGGGTTATCAAAGAAAGATAAAATGATACTTGATACAGTCCTTTAAAACTGTGATCTAGTTTTAATGGTGAGTTATTTAATGGCCCTTGAAATTTTGGGAAATCCCATATGGTATAAAAACGAATTCTCTTGATCGGAACATGCAATTAACTGGAAAATCCATTCTCTTAAGCTTGCACTGCAACAGACGATTTGCAAAAAAAGGAAACATGGTCAGGGCAAAACATTTCCTCTTTTTAGAAACCTTGAACTGAGAATGTCCCTCACCAATTACATAGGGTCCCCTGGGCCTCCGCGTTGCACCAGCGGTGAGGTCTCTATGGCAATGCCCCCGGCTGCTGAAGCGGAACACAGGTGACGAGGCGAAGGCGGACGCAGGTGCGAGGACACCGAGGGGAGAAGGCCCCGCAGGCTCTTGGTGAGCGTCCGGGACCCACGGCCTGCGGGGCCCGCCGGCCTCGCCCTCCCGCCTGTCCCGGGTCCCAGGTCCCGCCCTGCACCTCCCGAGGCTGCCCCGGCGCCAGGGTGCTGCGCCGGGACTGGGGCTCCTCTGGGGCCCCGCTTCCGTGGCTGCGTCAGCCTTGAAAGGAGCCCGTTTTGTCCAGCCCCCTGGTCTCATGCAGCCGTTCAGCGTCCCCGTTCAGATTACACTCCAGGGTGGCCGGCGGCGCCAGGGGAGGTAAGTCCCGGGCACACTCTGCCGTGCGCGGGTAGTGGCTGGAAGAGCGGCCTCGGAGGGTGCCCACCTGCCGCGCCCCGGGGGACCCTGCAGGGCCTCCCCGGGGGCGCGGACGTCGGGGGGGTTGGAGCCTTTCTTGCTGGCTTCCTCCTCCATTTGGCTTGCAAATTCTAGAAAGCAGGAACCTCTTTTTTTTTTTTTTTTTTTTTTTAAGACTCACTGGTGGTTCCAGGCACTAGAACACGGCCCAGAACGTGTTCGGTGCTTCAGTCGCTCTCTCTTGGTTGAACGAAGGGTCGAGGAAATTACCACCGGCATTTGACCCCCCCGGTGAAGCACGCTTGGGCCTTGGAGTCACAGGCCTGGATTCGAGTCTCAGTTCCACCCCGTAACTAGCTGCATGACTCTGGGCAAGTCAGATAGCCTGTCAGCCTCCTCCTTTTTTAAAAAAAAAGATTTTATTTATTCATCATAGAGAGAGGAGAGAGAGAGAGAGAGAGAGAGGCAGAGACACAGGCAGAGGGAGAAGCAGGCCCCATGCAGGGAGCCCGACACGGGACTCGATCCTGGGTCTCCAGGACCACGCCCTGGGCCAAAGGCAGGCGCCAACCCGCTGAGCCACCCAGGGATCCCCTGCCTCCTCCCTTTGTCCATAAAGAGGGAATAGGAACGGTATGCCTCCCCCTTCCACTACCCCTTGTTCATTTCCCAGAGTTAGGTGAGACAGGCTACCTTAAGGACCCTTTTTTTCTCTCCAGAGGAATAAAACACAGTGGGGCTGAGAGCCTTAAGTGAAGCCCCAGTCCTTCTGTCTGCTTCTGGGTTTGGGTTGGCGGGGTGCTCAGAACTGGGCAGCAAAATTGAGAAAAGAGAAATGCCTAAGGGTGTTTGAGGAATAGAATATTAAAAGCCGGCCAGGGGTACATTTCTCAGCCAAGTTCACACGTTCTATCTGGAAATGTGGGTGGTTTGTTAGTGGCTTCCGTGGAGTTGGGAGCTAAGTGAAAGCAGTAAAGACCGCCATGGTCACCGCGTTATCCACCTCCACCATCCTGTACTGACACACCTGGCACCTGAGAGAGAAGGAAGGAATGTGAGACAGAGGGGTTCAGCGGGGGTGAGGGTCAGAGGAGGAAGACGCAGACCAAGGGGGAAGAGAGGCAAAAACACTTCTCTCCTAGAAATGCACTGATGCTTTTGTGAAAAGACAATTAAAGCAGAATTACTCTCTGGCAGAAGGTCAAATGACGAACATGCGAGGGAACACGTTTTAATGCCCTGCTCATGGCATAATTAACTAGATACGAGAGCAGTTGTTCTCCCCAAAGCCACACAGCCTCTCATTTTCATTGCTGAGACGCACAGTTGGATTATTGCTCTTGCCTCTTGCTGAACTCGATGAACCATGCTGACTTTACTCAACCTCATTTGCTGTTTCAAAAGAAGTTGTTAAATAATTTTGTAATTAAAAAATAGAAGGCTGAAAATAATTACCCAAATCTCCCTCTGTAACACAAACAAATTACAGGGAAATACTAATTCAACATGCCAGTGATACGAGTGTCAGGTGAATCGCCAAGCTCTGATGAACAGCAGCATCTTTCTAAGGAGCGCTTCTTGACAAGTTGCAGTGTTGGCGGGAGAGGCTGCGGCATCTGCAGGGATCACAGCCAGATGAACTTGTTCAAGCTCTTTGAAATCAAGTTTGCCTGAGGCTAAGCCAGAAGGTGTCTGTAGCAATGTGTGCGAAAAGGCTGGTGGGAAAGTCAATTCTAACTGCAGGGAAGCAACAGAAGGGGGTGGGTACTGCCTCCACTATGAATAAAACATCTCCAGGTAACACACTGGTCGGAAGTGAAAATATATTTCTGGCAAAAAGGATTAAAAATGCTGTTCACTCATCTCACTGGCTAGAGAGCAAAATTAGATCATTCGGAAATGCTTTGAGGTCCCTGGATGAAAGGCACTTATAAATACCACAAAGTTAATTACAGGGATGTTTATGGTCTCAGAAAACTGGAAAAAACCCAATATTCAACAATAAGGAAATAGGTAAGGATTTTATGGCATATCCAATGGATGGAATATTATGTGGCCAAAAGAAGGGTTACTCACGACATAAGAATTGCTCACGACATAAGAAAGGGCTTATTATGTTAGGTGAAAAGAAGATTAAAAAAAAAACAAAAAAAACCCCTCTATATCCAGAATGAGCTCATCCTATTTAAAATAATACAGAGGAGGAGAATAACTCAGCAAGTGAACAGAAATGATCTCTGTTAGAATTGTGGGTGATTTTTGTTCTCTTCTGTAGACTTTTCCACATTTTTTGAGTTTCATAATCTGAGCATAAAAAAAGTACATTATTTTAACAAATCCCTTGGACATTTGTTGAGGCCTTCTTTATGGCTTGGTTTGTGGGTAGGTCTCACAACTGTTCCTTATATGTTTGAGAAGAATATACACTCTGTAGGGGACAATATTCTACATTAGCATTTAGATAAAAAGCCTGTTACTGTGCTCAAATCTATTTCCCCACTGATTTATCTGGTTGAGCTAATCAGTTACTGAGGGAGGATGCAAAAATATCTCCTCAGTTGTTGGTGGATTTTGTCTATTTCTTCCTGTAGTTCTGTCAGTTAGGCAATGCTATTAGGTATGTATATTGCTAGCTCTTCTAGATGACTCTTTAATCAATATTAGCACCTTCTTTATTTCTAAAAGACTTTTTGACCTGAAGGTGCATATCAGCTTGCTTTTCATTAGACTTTCCTGACAAACTTCAGCCTTTTACATCTGCATGTTTCATGTGATTTCTCTCAGCACATAGACAACTCTAATTTCTTACTATTGTGGTCAGAAAAGATACTTGATATGATTTCAATCTTTTTGAATTTATTGACACTTGTTTTGTGGCCTAATGTATGATTCATCCTGGAGAATGTTCCACGTGCACTTGAGAAGAATGTGTATTCTACTGCTTTTGGATGTATGTTCTAAATATATCTATTAAGTCCATTTGGTCTAATGTGTTGTTTAAGGCCAATGTTCCCCTACTGATTTTCTGGCTGAATGATCTAGCCATTGATGCAAGTGGGGTGTTAAAGTCTTCTACTACTATTTTATTGCTGCCAATTTTTTTCCTTTTTAGGTCTATTAATATTCACCTTATTTTAGTGCTCCTATGTTGGATGCATATATATATTTATAAATGTTCTATCTTCTTACTGCATTGACCCCTTTATCATTATGTAGTGCTCCTTTTTGTCTGTCATTACAATCTTTGTTTTATTTTTTTTTATATAAATTAATTTTTATTGGTGTTCAATTTACCAACATACAGAATAACACCCAGTGCTCATCCCGTCAAGTGTCCCCCTCAGTGCCCCGTCACCCATTCACCCCCACCCCCCGCCCTCCTCCCCCTCCACCACCCCTAGTTCATTTCCCAGAGTTAGAAGTCTTTATGTTTTGTCTCCCTTTCTGATATTTCTCACACATTTCTTCTCCCTTCCCTTATATTCCCTTTCACTATTATTCATATTCCCCAAATGAATGAGAACATACACTGTTTGTCCTTCTCCGGTTACTGTGGCCAAGTTCAAAAAGGGTGTTGCCTGAGTTCTCCTCTGGGATTTTGATGGAATCTTGTCTCACATTTAGATCTTTCATCTATTTTGAGTTTATCTTTGTGTATGGTGCAAGAGAGTGGTCCAGTTTCATTCTTCTGCATGTGGATGTCCAATTTTCCCAGCACCATTTATTGAAGAGACTGTCTTTCTTCCAGTGGATCGTCTTTCCTCCTTTATCGTATATTAGTTGACCATAAAGTTCAGGGTCCACTTCTGGGTTCTCTATTCTGTTCCATTGATCTATATGTCTGTTTTTGTGCCAGTACCACACTGTCTTGATGAACACAGCTTTGTAGTACAGCCTGAAATCTGGCATTGTGATGCCCCAGATATGGTTTTCTTTTTTAAAATTCCCCTGGCTGTTCGGGGTCTTTTCTGATTCCACACAAATCTTAAAATAACTTGTTCTAAGTCTCTGAAGAAAGTCCATGGTATTTTGATAGGGATTGCATTATACGTGTAAATTGCCCTGGGTAAAATTGACATTTTCACAATATTAATTCTGCCAATCCATGAGCGTGGAATATTTTTCCATCTCTTTGTGTCTTCCTCAATTTCTTTCAGAAGTGTTCTATAGTTTTTAGGGTATATTTTGAGAACCATTTGAATGGTAAATGGTTCTCCAACCTTTTATTTTCAGGTTGTAGGTGTCTTTCTGTCTAAAATGAGTCTCTTGTAGACAGCAAATAGATGGGTCCTGTTTTTTTATCCAGTCTGAAACCCTGCGCCTTTTGATGGGGTCGTTAAGCCCATTCACGTTCAGAGTTACTATTGACAGATATGAGTTTAGTGTCATCATGATATCTATTTAGTCCTTGTTTTTGTGGATTGTTCCACTGAACTTCTTCTTAAAGGGGACTTTTAAGAGTCCCCCTTAAAATTTCTTGCAGAGCTGGTTTGGAGGTCACATATTCTTTCAGTTCCTGCCTGTCTTGGAAGCTCTTTATCTCTCCTTCCATTTTGAATGAGAGCCTTGCTGGATAAAGTATTCTTGGTTGCATGTTCTTCTCATTTAGGACCCTGAATATATCCTGCCAGCCCTTTCTGGCCTGCCAGGTCTCTGTGGAGAGGTCTGCTGTTACCCTAATATTCCTCCCCATGAAAGTCAGGGACTTCTTGTCTCTTGCTGCTTTAAGGATCTTCTCTTTATCTTTGGAATTTGCAAGCTTCACTATTAGATGTCGAGGTGTTGAACGGTTTTTATTGATTTTAGGGGGGGATCTCTCTATTTCCTGGATCTGAATGCCTGTTTCCCTTCCCAGATTGGGAAAGTTTTCAGCTAGGATTTGTTCAAATACATATTCTGGCCCTCTGTCCCTTTCGGCGCCCTCGGGAACCCCAATTAAACGTAGGTTTTTCTTCCTCAGA